CGCCTGGCCATAATGGTTCGTTCACACCAGACGCGAAGCGAATATGCGCATCGCGCCACTCGCTCTAGATTACTCGCGGGATGTTTTTCATGTCATTCGCGCGAATAAATACAGCGCGATCAACCATGGTGAAGATAACTACAATCGCTGTTTTGTACCTGTTGTCAAAAAGTCCCAAATACAATGGAAAGCAAAACACCGACGTGTCTGGGTTCACAGCACCATCCAGAGGATGATGAATAACATTAGGATCCTGTATAAATGTGTGTGTTACATTTTACTACTGTATATACACAGTGATATTACTATTATTTTTATTATTGATAGCAGCATCTCCGTAGCCATGCTAATAAAATACAACTACCACTACAACTGATTTTAATTGTTTTCTATGCTCCAGACCTATATAATAACAGATGGCTGCAATAATGCTCTCTTCTATTGTCGGATTCAACCAGATGTGCCTATAAGCTCTTAGCTGATTGGCTTGCGCGAGAACGCGTCAGGCGAATTTTCTGCTCGAGTTGAAATTTTTGAACTTGCGCGAAAGACGCGATTGAGGCGAATATCTCGCGTTCGCGGCAAACGCGTCGCGCATTTCGCGTCATTCGCGTCGCCTGGATTCTTTGCATTCATTACATCTTTGCATTGATGTAATGTATGTAATCTACTCGCGCGAATAATTAAATTCGCGTTTGGTGTGAACACACTGTAACGGTCACTGTCGCTCGTGTCGCCGGAAGTCGCCAGCTCTCCATTGAAAATGAATGAGATTATGTCGCTCTGTCGCTGTGTGTCGCTGGCGGTGTGAACGGGGCTTAATCTAGAGCGAGTGACGCGATGCGCATATTCGCTTTGCGTCTGGTGTGAACACACCATTAGTCTGTTCCAATTAAAAAAAATTTAGATCATCTCTCAAAAGAATAAAACGAAGATATGTGAACAAAATAAAAGTTTTGGCTATTAGCAATCCATAAGGAGTGGGGTATGAGTGGTAATGAACGAATGAATGAAACACACTTGTCCGTGTATCACTCTGTCTCGAATCCCGCGGCACGCTTTCAACTCGTTTTTTTTTTGTCTCGAGCAAGACTGTACAACATTCACATTACATGATTTGACTGATTTTCATGATTTGACTGATTTTTACGTAGAAAGGGCGACAGCGCGCCGCCTTAAAAGAAATGATCGTTCATGTTTTCATAACCGCTGGCCAAATTCAAAAACGAAACTAAAATTAAATCATCTTTGAGAGCAAGGGGACCCCCTGGTGTTTCGGGGGACCTACGCAGCTTGCGTATTTTGCTTATAGGGAAGATCGGCTCTGACTTTACAAAGTCTAAATCATCAATAAAGTGTATACTGAATTTGGCCTTTAAATATCACTGTCTTACTACATTACTACTTAATGCAAACATCATAAAAAATAACTGGCGGTCAGTGGAGGAAAGCCTTTGCCCTCCATGTGGGCGTTCATTCATTCATGAAAACTATCAATGTCAATGGCAATTTTATTTATATAGCACTATTTACTACAACCAGAGTTAACCAATGTGCTTTACAACAGAATAACTAAAAACAGCAACAACACAATGAAAAACAAAAACATCATAACATGCAGAAAAATATAGGAAAAGGATAAAGAGTGCTTCAACCAGAATTAAAGCCTTATCGAACAGATAGGTTTTTAATTTAGACTTCAAAATAGCCACAGATGAAGCCATTCTAATAAAAATGGGTAGATCATTCCAGAGTCTTGGCGCAATTGCAGCAAAAGCGTGATCACCCTTGCACTTCCGCCTCGTCTTGGTAATGACAGAACTTGCGACGATAGTTGCTTTTGGGAAATGCACTTAACACTGAATTTTGAGGAATTAAACTTTTTGAAAAGAAGGGAAACTAAAAATGATGACAAAATAAAAAACAAGTTTATTAGCAACATCAGGAGATTGGAAGCTTGTGTCACAATATTGTAGGCCTATATGTGACCTTGGAGCCATACTTAAAGTGACAGTCATCATCGTCAATGATGAAGAATGCTAAATCAGCCACCAACAGAGCACATGTTAATTTGTGAACCTGTTTCTGTTAAATTTGTTGTAAAAAAAAAGAAAAGTCCATAAACCTAATGAAATTCTGTTCAGTTACCAAATGTTTTGTCAATCACAATATGCTTCTTGTGAGGAAAGGTTTTTGTGTTGATTTCTCACTTCAAGATGGACTCAACAGCCTTGCCAACACTGCCATTTACAGTTCAGCTAAGTGAGTGTACAACATATGTCATGTGTGGTCAGAAAACAAAGCAGTAAAGAGTTTTTATAACAAGCTGTACTGTAAATGAATACATTAACTGCCTGACATAACCATCACCCTGGTGAACAGGGTCAGTTAATAATGCATTTCTTTTATAGTCTGCAATTCTACATATTACACATTTGGATTGCAACTTATAAATCAGGCCAATATAAATTCATATTTAGCTTTTGTTCTAAATATCATATTTGTTTGAACCCCATATTAACATTAAAGTGGAATCTATACTATTTTAAAACTTCAATACATTTATAAATGTAGCATAGCTTTAGTGAACAACACGTACTTCCTATGTATGTAAATTAGCTTTATTTTTACATTACGCTTTATTTAAATTGTTTTTTATTTATAACTATTGTTATTAATTGTTTTAACTTCTAATGTAGCTTATGGACACTAATGAAAAATTAGATCATCTTTGTTTTGCCTGAAGAGGAGAACAGCAACAACTTCAAGATCAAATGAGAAGAGCTTTTACACTTTGAAAACAAGTTACCTTTTTTCTCTTTTTGAATTAGGATAGGTTTCTAAACATTTCAAGCTTGCATTAAACAGGCCCATATTATTTACTCAATTTCATCTTTGAAATTCACGTAACAAACTTTGAATTATTATCATTTCCGATTTGAGGAAATTTACTTCGTTGATTTCGCCCCAATCTAATCATGTATGTTTTGACATATTAATTTAATAATCTAATAATTTGATTTGAATTATAATGCCTTACCCTAAAAATTGGGCAAATCCAAAATCGAAGTAACTGCCTCAAGACGTGTGTAGAGAGAGTGAATAAGGGCGTGAAACATCTGCCGTTTGGTGAAATAGAAGCATAAACGCACTTCAAACCATATGCGGAACTAGGACAAGACACTGCGGTCTGTTAAGATAAACATTAACAAGAAAGAATCTTTTCAATAACCTATACGCTTATAACCATTATTTTGCATTGCACTTAAAATGTTTTTCCCCCCATAACATCATTTTTAAGCATATTCCAGCAATTAACTTAAACTATCTTATTAATATCTTATACGTGGGGTTAAGCAAAAACGTATGCTTATAGGCTGAAAATTAATTAATATACATAATTTGCAATGCAAAATGCATTTGAATCCTCAGGTATCCAGAAGACCCAAAGGTTTACTGACTTCATTCACAAGACTGAATCGGGAATACCGTTCCCTTTCATCTTTAATAGAATCCTTATGGTTTTCAGTCAAAATTCACTCTAAAAAATGCTGGGTTGTTTCAACCCAACTTTGGGTCAAATATGGACTAACCCAACCGTTGGGTTAAATTTTTACATTAAATTTTTAACCCAAAAGTTGGGTTAGTCCATATTTGACCCAAAGTTGGGTTGAAACAACCCAGCATTTTTTAGAGTGATAGTAGGCCTACTGATGGACTCTAACTGTTTCCAATCATTCATAAGCATGCATAATGTAACGTTTGCCTTACATTTGCCTCAGACAATTGACCAAAAATGCCCATCAGATCTGCCCTTGATAGCAGCTTCATGTATAGCTACAGCAAGTAAATGGAGACATCTTGTGGCTTCATCCAAGTGAGCGTGAAACACCTTAAGGCCTGTTCACACCAAGGACGATAACTATAGCCTAAAGAAGATAACGATAGATATATATTTCTAAAAATCGTTCTCAATATTAAAGAATGACAGAGTCCACGCCACAGCTATAACGATAAAGGCACAGAGAAACGATATGGTTGGAATCACTATAGTTTCAGAACGATTTTTTTCTAGCTGATGAACGATAAAAACATTGACAGCCAATCAGAATCAATCCTGCCATAACGGGCTGGAGCATTTAAAGCGGCAGACGAGCGTGCGCTTGGAATAAACAGACGATATCACCCGCTGGTAAAGAAATGGAAAATTATTTGAATGTAATTTCAGTATCTACTAATAAGAAAGCTATAAGGACTGTTAGGATTTGCTCTGCCTTTGATCCCTTCATGTGATCATGTTTAGATGATGGCCCTCTTATGTTTATTTTTTCTTGGTTTCCATTTTATTTTTGTGGTTGATATTATGTGATGTATGCTTATTCTTTTGTATGTTCCCGTTCTCTGCAATAAAAATAATAATAAAAAAATATCGCCCGCTGGTGTGGACGCTAATAAAATTATCTTTATAGTTATCGTTCTTGGTGTGAACGGGCCTTTACCCTTACAAAATTTCACATTAAAAATGTAAAAGTAACATACAATAAATATAAAGTAATAGCTATTTACTAAATCTACTAAATGCTACTGTTCGATGCTGCTTTCTAGGAGGACATTTCAATATTTATTATTTTATTCTATTGGCATCATAACTACAATTAAGAAATAAATACAAATCTGCATATGGCTGTGTGAAATAAATTGAGAATAGTTTAATTTGCATTAGTGCTGTATCTTTATTACCACTTTGTCTTTTGCCCTCTGATGGTTAACAGGCACTTTTTTGTTATTCAGATTTGGAACAATATTAATTGTACTTAACAGGTAGACGAAAAGTACACACATTAATGGCTATATAAACAAAAGTTATCATCAAATTTGTCATCCTTGAAATGAGCGAACGCCCCTAGTGTGCGGGGACTATATCACGAACTGCCGTGATACTGGGTTGCATGACAACAAACCGGCCGTTCCTCCAATCAAACACCTCGATACGGCGATCCGTGTGTGATGCAGACACAGTACACGCTCATGACAGAGGATCTGTTGTCCGGTAATAGCGCACAAAGAGGCCTTTTCACCATACGGTTAAAGGTAAACCGTATGCTATTACGGGGCAAAATAAGTCGGGTGACTAGCGCACACGATTTCCTTTAACTAAAGAATGAAATCCTCAACGTTTGTTTGTGTGTAACGTACGCGCTCCTCTCCTGTAAGCTCGCGGATACTGAGAGGAATAAAGACTGAAGGCATGAAACTGACTGGAGTTCACAGCGTTCTTTGGGACAATGAGAGGCTTGCAGAGGGGAGGTAAAGAATGCAAGGTAAGGGCCTTTGTCCTAGATCTCCAATGCACCCCTTATGTCTTCACAACTGCATGCATTATGTGTAATTTGGTTGTCTTATGCATATACCATATAACCCAGTATTACAGAATGTTATTTATTTTGTCCACGCATTAAAATATGAATGTAATAACGTAAAATTCCGTGCAGTAGTCTGTCTATTAATTGAATTTGAAAAAAAAATCCAGCTTAGACTGGGATTTGTAGGGTCTTTGTAGGATTTCGCTAGAGCAAACATTCCATTTGTCCACTAAATATTAGGTCTAACAGTAATAATAGAGAATTATTTCGAATATTTTTTAGAAGTGTTTCATCCATCATTATACAAAGGGATAACTCTGCAGTCAACCTGAATGTTACTTATCAACTTAGTAAAATTGACATTTTTAAACACACTAGCAATATGACTGAAGGCCTGGCAGCAGCAGCAGGTGCCTAATTCTTGGAAATGAGGGTAAGAACCAAGATTTATCAGTCATGCAAGGTAACCAGCTCATGATCTATTCCTCAGATTTAACATGACAGCAGCTTAATCCCAAATAGAAAATGGGTTTATATAGCATGCCTGAAATGATTTAGTTTATGTTTTGTCTATTCAGTTATATAAGGTTATAATTTAGAAAGTAGCCTATCTTACCCTAATATGAGAAACCTCATGGTAGGTCAAGTATGTTTTTAGAGGGGTTGATAAGAAAATCTATTAATTAATTAAATAAAATTACATAAATAATTATACATATATATATATATATAAAACACTTACTAAAAAGGGAAATAATGTATTTGTTTACTTGCATGTCATGTGGCCATTAACTGACATCAGAGAGCCATAAAAATGCAAATGTGTTGTTATATTAACTTAAAATGTCACAGGGTGTGCCAAGTAAATATTTTGGGTAAAATGGGTAAATATTTCTGAAAAAAAAAAAAGTTTGGAAAAAGTTTTTTATTTTTTGCCAGGTTTCCTGTTATATGGCTGAAGGGATACATTTGTCTAAGAAAGGAAACAAATGCTATTTCAGTGTCCCCCCCCCACCCCCCGCCCCCCCTCCCCCCAGATAGAACATTTTAAAAAGTAATAATTAACATAATTTTAAAATAGTATTTTGTCATTTCATAATGCAGGTTATAGTATATTAGGATCTTTGTATCCAGACTGTTAAAACAATCACTGAAAATTAATACACTCAAAGTAACCAGTATTTTTCTACCCTCACAGTGACCAATATTGGCGGGATCACTGAATTGTCACCATGAAAGCAGGGAATTCAAGATGTGCTTTCTCCCTGGGCTTCCTGGTGGGCAGCTGCACCTTGTACGTCTTCTTGAGACAGGTGTGGTTTGAGAAGAGCTTCGGCTGGAAGCTTGATGGCAAGAGCAACCCTGCTCCACTTGGGCCTGAACAAAACACCCCCAACCTTACCTGGAAAGTGGAAGGATCTGCCCTGATCAACCTCAAACACCCTCACCAGCCAGGTGCTGCAGCGCCCTCTAGTGCATCATTTATGTTACATACATTAATGAGTGTAACATGATATATATAGCACTGTCTGCAACATAATAGCTGATGCAAAGCTTTCACTTTATAAACACTTAATTGAGTTTTCACTGGACAATATTGTATAAAAGTGTATTTTGTAGTCACAGTAATGTGTTAAAAGTGCACTAAGCAATTTTACTGGCACATAGGCCTACTAGAGCAGGATAGCGGCAATATTATGCAAAAGTGTCTTGTTTTTAGTTACCAATGCCACTGTATTCACAGTCAGCCATGATTAATTGATCATGCAAAAAAAAAAAGTGTCCGATTACAGGGGTGTTACTGAGTTAAAGAGAGGATTAGGATGGTTGTTGGTTAATGACTTGATGCTTGTTTTGTAATACACACACACACACATTATATATATATATATACATATATATATATTTATATATATATATATATATATATATATGTGTGTGTGTGTGTGTGTGTGTGTTTGTGTGTATTACAAATAAATAATAATAATACTATTTTGTTTAAAACCATGATTAATTGATCATGCAAAAAAAAAAAGTGTCCGATTACAGGGGTGTTACTGAGTTAAAGAGAGGATTAGGATGGTTGTTGGTTAATGACTTGATGCTTGTTTTGTAATACACACACACACACATTATATATATATATATACATATATATATATATATATATATGTGTGTGTGTGTGTGTGTGTGTGTGTGTGTGTTTGTGTGTATTACAAATAAATAATAATAATACTATTTTGTTTAAAAAAAAGATTGGTTAAGATTTAAAATTACAAGTAATTAGTTTTTAGGGCTGCACTGTGATCCTTAAATAGAGTCTATTAATGTCATTTAATTATTCTTGTTCTAAATATGCCTGACAAGATGCAAAACACACAATGAAAAATATTTAATAAAAAATATTTAATATAAAAAATAAAGTTTGTTTTAAATTGATTATTGTAAATGCTATAAAAGTTCTTCAAAACCACATGTAAAATAAAATAGCTTTTATTAGGCTACTGATAGGTATACATAATTTGAAGCATATTTTTCAAAATTACTGTTGTTTTCTGTATGTGTAAAGCTTTTTTAATTTTTTTAATGCAGCGCTTACAGAATCACTACAATATAAAGTCTCTAATGAGTATAATATTTTGTATTGTATTAAATTGCAACATAACTATGAAATTTGTTTTAAATACACAGGAGAGGACAGTCACATCGCAGATGAGCTGTTTAAGAAAGTGCGTATCTTGTGCTGGGTAATGACAGGGCCTAGTAATCTACAGTCAAAGGCTTGGCATGTGAAGGCAACATGGAGCCGTCACTGTAACGTAGTGCTGTTCATGAGCTCTGAAGAAGACCACAGCTTCCCCACAGTGGGCCTTGGCACAGGAGAAGGCCGCGACCAGCTCTACTGGAAGACCATTCGTGCTTTCCACTATGCTCTGAAGAACCACGGCGATGAGGCAGACTGGTTTCTCAAAACCGACGATGACACGTTCGTCGTTGTGGACAACTTGCGCTGGGTCTTGTCAAACTACACGGCAGAGCAGCCCATATACTTTGGAAAGAGATTCAAGCCGTACGCCAAGCAGGGCTACATGAGCGGTGGCGCAGGTTATGTGCTCAGCAAAGAGGCCCTGAGAAGGTTTGTGGAGGGTTTTAGCACTAAAGTGTGCACTCATACCACCTCAGTAGAGGATCTAGCAATGGGTCAGTGTCTGGAGAAAATGGGGGTGGTAGCAGGGGACTCCAGGGACACACTACAACGTGAAACCTTCCATCCTTTCATTCCTGAGCACCATCTTACAGGAAAGTTCTCCAAGACCTTCTGGTACTGGAACTACTGCTTCTACCCAATTGTAGAAGTAAGTCAAACACTTTGATTTTTTGCACAGTTACACTAGCGTTCAAACGTTTGGGGTTGATACGTTTTTTAAAATGTTTTTGAAATAAGTATTTTATGTTATCAGTTATTACACTTCAAAATAACGGTTTTCTATTGTAATTCTGTATATTTTAAAATGTCATTACTCCAGTCTTCAGTGTCACATGATCCTTTGGAAATCATTCTAATATGCAGATATAGTGCTTAAGAAACATTTTTTTCTCCTTCTTCTTATTATTAGCAAATTTAATAGTTAATAGTGCTTAATAGTTTTGAAAAAATTGTAATACATTTTTTTTCAGAATTCTTTGATTAATATGAAGGACAGGATTTATTTGAAATGGAAAACTTTTGTAATATTATAAATGTCTGTTCTGTTACTTTTGATTAATTTAATGCAAACTTTTGAATGGTAGTGTAGAATAAAATATGCACTCATCGTAATTTTTCCTAAGATATTCTATGTCCTTTGTGACATTTCTCTACATTCCACAGCTTCCGTCTCCTACACACAGGAAGCAAATTAGTTATTACTTTGGTAATGACAGAAGTTAAACTAATTAAACTAATTTTTAAAAAAGTTTTAAGAACTTAAGTACCATCTATGCCTGAGAATAAAAAACAATTAAAGTGTCAAAAGCAATTTTCCATTCAAGTAAAAAATTAACAACATTGTTTGAGAAATATACTTTTAGATTGGAATTACCTTATAATTTTAACCCTCTCATTTTTTTAAATGCCACACTGAACTAGAAACTCCTTCAGGTGATTGCAAGTGAAACCAAAAATGGATAGGTTTGATGGGGACAGCATTTGTCAATAGTTTTTCTTTCATGTACATGATGATGTGTTTTGTGACTAGACAGCTAATGACTAGCAATACAAAACCCAAGAAATTAACACAATTTTGTCCTGTCGTGGTCATCAAAGTGGCAACAAGAAAGGATACGAATGCTATTTCAGAGTTTATAAAGTTAGTATAAAAACAAGTATGATTAGGAATAGAACTGTGCAATTTCTTTCAGAAAAATTCCTTTTTAATACAAGTTAAGCTCAATCGAACAATGTTAATGACAGAATAAAAAAAAAGCAAAAGCAAAAAAGAATAAATCGGTTTATAGATAAATATCTGTTTAATATCCGTTTAAAGAATAACTGGTCGTTTATCCGATACACCTATCGCACAGGTGTGTGATGGTAATTGTTGATTAATGACAGACTGACAAAAAAATTCTTACATTTTTCTTTTTAAAAAAGCAAAAAACAATGTTATATTGAAGCTCTTACAATAGAAGTAAATTTAAGATTAGAAATGCAAAGCTGATTATTTTTTAAAGTGCTTAAATTACACTTCTGTTAAAACTATTTTTTAAGCTGTAAAGTTCTCTTTTTGGTCATTAGCAATTAAATTGTAAACTTTAATATAACTGGATGCATAAAAAGTTAGCAAGTTATTTTTTTCCACACTAAAAGTCATGTTAACATACACATTATTTGTCTTATGGGTGCATTTGAATGTTTACAGATTGGCCACATTCATTTCAATTGAAAGAGCCACACTGTTAGCCAGATTTTTGCTTTTTTAAAGAAAGGGTGGACAAGTCCAAATTAATTTTCATAGTAATCAACATTATGACACATAAGTGCTGTTGATTGAGCTTAACTTGTAATGAACCTAGAATATTCCTTTAATGCAAACTGTCTGCGATCACATGGAAATGTAACAGACCAGCATCTCTTATATTAGTTTTTTTTTCTCTACAGGGCCCACAGTGCTGTTCTGACCTAGCTGTGTCTTTCCACTACGTAGACCCTGTGCTAATGTACACTCTTGAGTACTACACTTACCGTCTGAGGCCATATGGCTACCGACACCGCTACCAGCCTCCAGTGCCTGCTGTACTGTCTTTAGCTTCCCACACTGGGAAACCTACCACAGAAGCTCAGAGATTAGATGAGCGTGTTAATGAAAAGTCAGCTCCAACAAACACCATGAATCCCAGAGCTGAGAAAGGGAAGACTACTGGAACAAGTCACAAAGTCACAAATGCTGCCCAGGGGAGAAACATAACGGACAGAAGCACTGCATGATTGTTAACATGATTGTTTCTTCTTAAATACAAAATACAAAATGAACGCATGTAGCATTTTGAATCATCCAGACTGTGTACTGTGCAAATGGAATGGTGTAGTGGTTACAGGTCTGGGCTAATAACCAAAAGCTGTAGGTTCAAACCTTAACAATGAACAAATTTAGTCCTTATTGCTGTTGATCAAGTAACTTGACTGGTTGTGCCAGTAATAAGTCAACTGTAAGTCACTTCGAATAAGTGTTTGCTACTCCACGAATTTGTTAATACGGTCCCTGCTATTTGAATAAGTTATTTTGCTGCCTTCTAGTCTGAGTACAGTAAAAGTGTCTGATTCACAAGCCATACTTCATCATATATTATGGCCAAAGTACATGAAGGACTTCAATAGTTTTATATTTCAACAGAGACAAAAATGAAAAGCAGAGTTTCATATGATGATTTTTTGGGGTTTCTTTAATATTTCTTTACTTGGAAAGTTTAGATTACCTTATTTTTGTTGTTGTGTTGTCTATGACTGTTGCATTACTAAACAGTTTCTACTGATATCCAAAGCACTAACACTCAAAGTCAAACTTGAAGTATTAGTCACTTGTTAAGTATTAGTATTAGTTAGCATCAAGTTAAAATACATATAAGTTTGATGTGCATAATTATATACGCAGTTGGTCATGAAACCTCTGTGTTTTGGCAAATGTAGCAAATTATTGCTGTGTACAGTTTTTTGAGGGGTCAAAGTCATTATATTTTATGCAGTTTTGAACGTTTAAGTAATAAAAGATTGTGAGATCAGATAGATAATTTTTTTATTTACAAAAATCATGTTTTATACATTAGACAGCAAAAATAACTTTTAATAAATATATTGAAATGCTGGCGATGTAAGTGGATATGCAAATGTGGTAATATCTAGGTAAATGTATAATCTGCAGTACAATGAAACAAATCACACCATAAGAAGAAAGTTTTATTTGATTCATCTTATATAAATATTTTCTTTTGCTCTATCACTTTTGTAAAAAAATTATGACTTTCTGTTGTTGCTCCAAAGAAATGTCTTGAAACGAAGCTGTCATGATAGGGTGGGATGGACGATTCACTGGATATGAAATAATTCATTTGCCTATAACCCACGACGAAACCTGCAACAAACAAACAAAAATAAGTATATATATTTACAAGAAAAGCCAGTAATTTTGGAATAATAGGCAGACATGCTTTAGGAACAAATGTGCCGTTAGAAAGATAAGTGTAATAGCTTCAGAAAGCCTGCAGATGGCAGAACAGCTTCACTGAATTGCTCACCTTAGTTTGCATTTGTTGAAGAAGTTGCCTCCTCTTGCGCCTGTTTCTGGATAATCTTTCCTCCATGGACGCCCAGTTTCTGACAACACAAATACAGTAAGTCTGAGATGCTGAACAAATATCTGACAATGTTAAGCTTTGATATTTGTTGAGTTTGTCATATGTTTGAGGTTTAGCCCACACGGTTCAGTAAAGACATACTCGTTGCAAATGTGTACATTTAACTACAGGTTTTCGTATGAACAACCAGTCAGACACTGGTTTAAGTTTCACGAACCTTAAATTAGACATATGCTTCATTTCGAGACGGATTTGACTATAAGTAATAAAAACTTGCAGATTTTGATTCAGTCACCGCTTTAAGATTCAACGAATTTATTCAATGATTCATCAGATTCAAATCAATAACTCGTGTGAATCATTGATCCATTAGTTCAATTAACATACTCAAGAATCATTTGTTCGTAAACCAATTCACACTGCTCCTCCTGGTGTATATTTTGATTCACTAAAAACCGACTCATAAGAGTCATTCGCGTGCGAATCAGACTGCATTGGTCAAGCTGTATGGTTTTGATTCCCTAAAAAGAACCGGCTCAAAAGAGTCATTTGTTTGTGAATCGAACTACTGTACTAGGTTTGTTTATTTCGGGCAACCCGCGAGGACGTTTTTTTCAGGATCGTGTTCAATTCATACTAAACCCCAAAAAATGATTTCGTTTAGATGTAAATTGACATCAAGACGACGGTCATCTAAAGGTAACTTATGCCTTTCACAAACGACACTGAAATAAAGAGAAAAGCTGTTAACTTACCAGGGTCAGTGCTTCGTCGACCCATGAGTCCAACAAAGATATCCTGCATTTCTCCTGAAAGACAACAAATATTACGTTTTCTTAGATATTTAAAACAGGGAATAGAAAGCACAAAATCCCTTCAAAATGTCTTACTTTTACGCTGAGGTGGTATATCATCTGTGTCTGGG